GCTTGGGGCCCCGGGCCAGAAGGGGGGTGCTAGTGGAGCTGTTTGGGCCGGAGCCTCGCAGCGGGAAAACTGTGGAGCACTACATTTGCGCACAAGATGTATTGCACCGCATTTGCGCACAAGATGAGGCCCCCTCCACAAGATGAGGCCCCACGCACTCCGCGTGATCTGCCTGTAGGGAGGGCCGGCCCTGCTTCACTTTAATGTTGAATATTAAAACGAGCTCACAAACTAGACTGGCTACTTGGCTAGCTAGCTAGGTATAGAGCTGCTAAATACACAGTGAAATTAAGTTATTTGTTCATTGTAGAATCATAGGAACTTCCACCACAACTTCACCTTCTTACAATGTGCATGGATAAGATTGTGAATGGTTTAATATAATGCAACAAGTGTATAGAGAACAACTTTGTGAGTGTTGGCTTAAGCTTCTTAGACAAAGTAGTTTAAACTGATTTACCGCAAATGGGATTAGAATATACAACAAAATATTGTACAAAATGGTTACATGCCAGCAAAACAATGACCCTGAGCCGAGTTTATGTTGTAAAACAAGCCAACTTTTCCACAGGTCAACAAAGTTAAGCCGAACTCCTGTAGGCTTGTAGATCCACAGGTGCATAGGAGAATACAAAAAGTTGATGATTGTGGGACTTTAAGAGGACACTATGCAGGAGTCATGTTGTTAGACATAAACCAAACAAATTAATGATCCCACTTAAGAAAATGTTTAACTTTATACAGTTTGACCTTCTACTGAAAAATGTTACTGCTTTGTAAGATCTGACTTGGACGATCTGAACAACCAAAACTGTTTTTATATTGCACATTTTACAGCCTGAACACTGAGCATAACTTTCTTTTTGCCAAAAAAAGGAATCACTCTAATCTAATTAATGCGCAACTTTATAATTGATTTATTTAATATTAAACCCTTTGGGCTTACTAACTTTTTTGTTCCCAAATGAACCTCTCTCTTATTATTGGTCTGATGCTCATACCTTTTAACGACATAATATGTTTTATATTCTGTTTACTTCCAAATGGAGGTTTTTCTGCAGGCTTAATGTGAAGTAGCCTATATAAGTATTTTATGTCCTGTATGTCTTTCAGTCTCGAGGCAAAGTATAGGGCATCGGAAGCAACAAGGCCCAGAGAATTCCAATAGTGCTGCCCTTTTATTGATTCACAGTCAAACCAAAATGGTGGTCAGATTCCATTTGCATGCAGTGGTGAGCTTTTGAAGCATGGCGAGACTGCCTGGCTCATTAACAAAGTCTATAGAAACGGACCCTTGAACAGGGCCCGGTGTCAGAGGAGAGCAATTCCCCTCTGCACCAGAACTGGGGCAGACATTTTGGTTGGTGCTCTGAGCTAAGCCAAATCAAGACCCACATAAAAGGATCCCTGATTGAAAGACAAAATATAGACCAACTAGATACTAGAGAGAGAATGTGGGGCAAATATCCGTGATGCTAATCAACGGGACAATTACAAGGTGAGGTGCGTTCAAGAGCCTTCCCACAGCGCTCTTAAGAGCTGTATTACCTTCCCCATGTGATTGTTTTGTGCTGTTGGCGTGGAAAGCTGAGCTCCAGATCTCTTTGCGTCATTCATTATTTCATTGTTCTGAGGAAATATGGTCTCATTATTCTTCGGCCAATGTCGACCCCGCCGTTACCTGTCAGCGCTTTTTGCTGAGGCCAGCTTTGCGCACTCAGAGCTGTTAAACACTAATGGACAATCGCTCTTCCCTTTGTGCTCAACATGCCATCTGATGTGCCATTTTGACTGACAGAGGAACGGAGGGCCAATTTGCAAAGGCTGACTTCCAGAGCATCCAGTGTGGAAAGACATTCATCAAAACCTCCATGCCCTTTTTCTTGCCTCCTTGTCATATTATCTGTGCAGCGCTGTCAGAGGCACCGTGGAGTTGATTACACTTTATTTCTGAGGCCTGCGTGAGAAGATCACATGGCTGCGGTAAAGTATAGTTGGGCAATTAATGTCCACTTCCTCTTCTGTCTGGGGGTGTGAAATTAGCAGTGCGAGATAAAGTACAACTAAAGTCCAGAAGTAAAAGGATAAATCAGCCAGGAATCAGGATGACTTTTTAAACCATCTGTTTAATATAAAAAACGCTGTGATATCATAACTTTTAATGAGCAATTTCAGTATATAATCGTTCCTATGTCTGCAGTATTTGAGCCACAGTGGTGTATTGGCTACAGAAGGACTTAAACAATCGTTCACAACTGTTTTGGGGAAAATAAGTAACCCTTAATACAAAATATGTTAACTTTTAACTCCTTATCAAAGTCGACACATTTATATTAGCTATCGTACTTCAAACTAGAAAAGAGATTTTATTAGAATGATGACTAACAATAAAAGATACATAGTTATTGAGTATAATGTTTCCCTCATTTATTCATGTTTTATGTATGATTGATAGTTGTCGTCATAGCTATTGGCAAGATTGCAGTTGTCATCTTCATTGTCGTTGGCATTGTCATCTCAGTCGCAGTCTCAGGGTAAGTGCTAAAGTGTCCAATTATAGGTGTTCCTTTTATACCTAATTCACTTTGGATGACACATCTCCTCATCATCTCATCTGGGTGAGCTTTCTTTGTTGGTTGTATTTGTGCTCGTCAAACATAGTATAACTATCTACAGTACCAGTCAACATGCTTTAGGACATTTTGAACTCATGCTGTACAGCCTTGCGATATAGTGATAGTACTAAAGCTTCTTAAAAAAAGAAGATATCTAAATTATAAAAAGTGTCTTTTCCTGAAATAACCCACAAGGTATAAAATATGTTTTTGGGAATGGTATAGTCATAGAAAACATGAAGTATTGGGTTTTCATATTGCCCTCTGTGAAGACATCATGATGCTTGAACAAGGAGGAGAAACAAGATAAAACTGAATATATATATATATATATATATATATATATATATGAAACTTTGAGACAGTCTGGAATTGGGGAAAAGATGGTTTTAAAAACTGTAAAGCTACTGAAGGGGAACATATATTCTGCAGTATATGTTCGGGTGTGAAGTACTGAGAGAACTCCTTATCTTTCAGACAATCACATGCAACCTGCCTCCAAAGCAAGCTCTGCCGCTGCCATCGGATTTCACTGTTGCAATGTTGGGTTATGTCTCGAGCTAGTTCTAGAGGCTACTTTTTTCTGTTTCCACTAAGGAAAAGTTAAGTTATATTACAATAAATAGGCTTTTCATACTATCAGTAACATCTATAAGGTCGGTGTTGCAGAGAACAATACATATAATTACATTGTGCCAAGGGGGCTACATCTAACCTCCGTGCCATAAAAAGAAATAACAGCAGACCTTGGTCAAACAGCATTCACCTTGATCAAACAGCACTCAGGCCGGCTAAGACAAATACATCTGGGCAGTGGTTTGAGTCTGCACACCAGATGGATGAGCTTTGACACGTCGGGTAATAACTGAGTGAATGAGGACAGGGGAGCTGAAGCAATGACAGCAAAGTATTTGAAAGTCAATTTGACATGGTTTCCTTTTTCACTGTCAAATTACCTGCCTGGTATTTTTAATGTTCTCATTTACACCATCTGGTACAACCAGATTTACCGGGTTCAAACTCATTTGTGAATACTATTAAACCTCTTTCAATATGCAACATAACTATACCTCTCTTTCAATCCCAAAGTTCTCCTTTTCAATGCCCTTGTGAGATAGACCTTCAAATTAAGGAACAAACATACAAATTAATTGAATGTTGAGGTTGGATTAAACAAGAGGACGTGTTCAATGTACATTTATTTTGTACAGATAATCTGAGTTCTTCAATTAAACACACGATTTGTGAATAACTTTGGAGACTCAAGTGACGTTTAAGATTACATCTAGAGTTCTAGATATGGTGAAAATCTTAGAAAGAACTCACAGGATGAAAACAAATCCTGTAAAAAGGTTGTACATTTTATACAAAATGTTCTGATACTAGAACATCATAAAGTTACTTAAATAATAATAATATAATAAAGTACAATTTCAAACTCAAGGTTATACATCTTAGACCAAAAACAGAGAATCAAGAGATTATGGGAACAACCTTTAATTGCAAAAATAAATGACTGACCTTTAAATCAGACTTTTCAGAATAACGTTATTTTGATTGGATCCTTAAATATGTGACATTTGTAGATGCATATTTCCAAAACCATGAAATAAACGATTTCAAAGTATAGTACCTCATATCAGCACTTCTCCACTATTGCTCTTCATATAGTAACTTGCCTGCTTTTACTTTGAATGTCACAAAGAAAAACAAAATCCCAACTTGCACCAGTACATTTTAAGCAACCAAATCCCTTCCAGCGCTCCCTCTGCACTGCATGGCATTTGATTTATAGTTCTAAAAGTCAACCAATTTACACATTTGCCCACACACATACACACACACGCACCGAGAACGTGATTGGTGACTTGTGAGTGGATGCTGCAAGCTTGTGTTGCGCACTGATGCGTGAATGTACACCAACAAGCAAGCGCCTCGCCTCTTACAGACACTCTACTCTGTAATCTTTCTGCCTTTTTTTCCGCGCGTTATCGAGGGAAGCAGCACAAGACCAACGCATGGGGGGGGGAGAGATGCCGATTGATAATTAACTTAAGGTACCTGCATCTGTGGACGTGCGTTGCAGGGGTTAGAGGGTGACGATGGAGAGACGAGAGAGAGAGAGACGAGAGGCGAGAGCGACGAGAGACGAGATGACCGACGAGGATGAGGAGAGAGCAGTCGAGAAGAGCCCCCCCAGAGAGGTGGCGAGTAGACGAGAGAGTAGAGAGAGAGAGAGAGAGAGAGATGAGAGAGAGAGACGAGAGAGAGAGATGAGGAGAGAGAGGGAGAGAGAGAGAGAGAAGAGAGAGAGAGAGATGGAGGGAGGCGGGCCGGAGAGGAGAGAGAGGTCTTGCCTCTTGTCTTGCCGAGGCTCTTTGATTCAGTGGCAGTGGCTGAGACAACCCCGTTACCGGCCACCGTTCACCCGGTAAGTCGTCTTCATATTCTCCCTTTCTCTCTTTTTTATTTGAGTATTTCATGTGTTATCTCTTAAGAAATTAAATAGAAGTTAATGCTTCGTTTCCACACTGGAAGTCGGATAAAAGAAAGTTGATGCGTAAAATAAAGGCGAATGAGACGAAACAACGCTCCACGGCAGAATATGTGTAGTTCCTGTGCAAACCAGGAACCCTGACTGTGTCTATCACTTACTTAAACAACCTGTTTTATGTTTAAAGTCTAAATAAACTTGAAAATGATTTACTTTTTGACGCTGAAGCGCATCCAAAACGCCACATGGAAACTCGGGCGCTGTCCGAGGTGCTGGGTGTGCGTAGCTCTACAATGAGTCCAGTTTGTGGCAATTACGGATCCAAATTCGAATTTTTTTATAATGCCAGCTTGCTATAAAAGTTCCTCATGGATACTTTACCTATCATAAAGTCCTATTTGATCAACTAAATCCCTCTCTACATGCTTTTCTTCTCCACAGGGTAACTACGACCCTCGATACTCAAGCTCAACAGCTCATGGTGAAGATTTCTCAGAGGACATCGCGTCTTCATCGCGTCTCTGCAGCCCCTATTTGAAGAGGACATTTGGCAATAGCGAACTTTTATTTAAGAAAACAGATTTACACTGGATGGCAAAGTCAGAAGATGCTTTGTGTGTCTAAAGAGCGCAAATTCTACCACATCAAAGCATATAAGAGCGTCAGTGACAGCTTGGCACATTCAGGAGTACCTGCGATGAAGAAGCCCGCAAGAAGCTCCACGCGGTAAGAAGTGGAAGAGTGATACTGAGAGCAGACAGAAGTGCGTGGAGGCCAAAGAACAAACACCAGCGAGTCCTCAAATGATGGGGATAAAACACCTTCTGCTTCTTTTGATTTACTTAGACCCACTGAATGTCCTGTGCACCGCCACCAACAACAAAAGAAGCAAAACCCCGACAAATAGGAAGCCAAAGGTGAAGGACCTGAACGGCAGCACCACCGCGGTCCCGCTGGCCGCGGCCGTCCCGGGGAAGATCACCCAGGTCCAGGCTCCGACGGTGCAGCACGACACCTGCCTGGGGTACTACGACGTGAGCGGGCAGTTAGACAAAGAGTTCAGCTGCAACAACACCGACCACCGCTTCTGTTGCGGCAGCTGCTTCTTGCGCTTCTGCTGCGCGGACCGGGGGAAGCGGCTGGAGCAGAAAATCTGCACCAACATCAACACCCCGGACTGGATCAAAACCCAGCCCCCCTCCCCGGCGCCAACAGGTGATACCTACGACCCGGAGCTAGACCAGACCAACACCACGGTGTACATCACCTGCGGGGTCGTAGCGCTCATCATTGCGATTGGGATAACTGCTAAAGTTGCCTATGATAAAGCCACCAAGCCCCCTCAGGAAATGAACGTGCACAGGTAAGAATTTGCAATATTTATTGATTTTTGGAAAAAGCTGAGAAATACCTTATAACATGTCTATACAGAGCATGATGTCACAACATAAAGGTAATCAGTGTATAAATACTTGTAATGATTTTACAATAAAACGAGTTAAAATGCTATTATCTGAGAAAAATACTGTCACACAATACTGTATTTATATATATATATATATATATATATATATATATATATATTGTTTCGCACTCATTTGACCAGTGAGTTGATCCCATTTTTCTCTGAGTGTAAAAACAGTTCCCTGCAATAGCCATAAAGTAGAAATGCATCCTCAACTGCAGCCTAAATAACTTACAGCCTCAATGTCATGGGTTCATTGAAGCTCATGACCTTTAACACATACCATTACTCTGCTCCCCGGAGCCTACCCGTCAGAAATGTCAAGATTGTATGCCTTTCCATGATACACAACCCACTCTGTGTCAATCCCAGGAGGGAGAGCGGGGGGTATTCTGTGTCCGTTCAACCCTAGAGGGATAGAGTAAATGCCACTGAAAGCCATATGAGTGATCACATTCATCCTGATGGGAGTGGTCTCTTCAGTCTATATTTCTAAATCCTCAAGGCACCAGTAGTGGTCAGTGAATTGCTTGATAAGCGTTAAAGCAACATAAAAACCCATCCTGTAGCCATTTCAGGCACCAGCTGAACAAATTGCTACATAATGATGTAGAGAGCAGACTCCAGGCAACATATCTCCACCACCATCAGAACACAAAATGGTTTCTTAATGTTGGCAATTATATGCGTTATCTGCACTTGTGTCCTGAAACAAAACACCCGGGAGAGCCTTGTGAGTTAAGATTTGAGTGTGTCTCTATAGATTTATGCTGCAACTCCATTGCTTGCCAAAGAAACATCAAATCACTAAATGATGCTCTTCGAAGCTGTTGATAAGCTTCATGGAAGAATAAAGGATTTAATGACACTACAAATGATGCCAGGAGATTTCACGAGTTATTGCTGCATTCAGGCAGTTATTGTAAAACTTGGTATGAAATCCAAAGTAATTTCTTAAGAACTGTGTGGGCTTAGTTTGATTGACAGAAGGCTTACAATAAGCAAGCAACCGCCTAACTGTACATTTTTTGATCTAAATGGTGCAGAATCTGATCGTCGTGCGTTACTTTCCCATTTTAGCCACGCCCACTTCAAACCAGAGAAAAAAGCGCAAAAAAATATTTTCGAGACTTTAAAGGTGGATGAATATTGTCATTGAGCTATATCAAATGCTTGTCATTTTTTTAACTAAAAACATTTGCTAGTTTTAAGTTCCCAAATTTGAGTATGTTATGCTTTAAATGTATCTTTTACAATAGCTAAAATGTATTAGGTCGACCAAAGCCATTCAAAGATGGCCACCTTGGCTGTAGGACTCCGGGCAGCTTTCTTGTATCTTTTACAACAAATGCCAGTACCTTTTCTGGCATTGAGTTGTGTGTAATGTGTAGAAAAGCCTATGGCAAGGTTTGTGTTTGGTTTATACCATTATTTGTGTGGGCTTATACATTTTCAGGGTGGCTCAGTGGTCAGGATACATGTTTTCATCCTGTTGCCTTTGGTTTCTTCGTGCAGTTTAAAGACATGTACTGCTTCTCTATGCTGTACAACACTGGACCATAACTGCCCAGGCTGTCTTGTGTGTGATGCACGCTGGGATACGATCCACCCACACCAAAGCAGACATTGAAAATATTTAAAAAGTATAAATGGGTTTTAGATTTTGACTCCAATTGGCCACCCGCTGGTAAAGGACAAAATCACAGTCACTTAGTCACTGCCCTTATCAAAGAGTCACTTGAGTCACCTGCCATTAGCCAGACTGTATTCTGGGCCAGAGGAGGACGTCTTGCGTAGATTTAAGGATATAAAGATAATTGAGCATTGTTATGCCGCGGTCATTACATTTTGACACCTGCTGCTTTGAAAAAATGTCTAGAAGGATTACTCAGCTTTCTGAGAAACGAAATCACACGGTCCTGATGATAAGAAAGGAAAGCTGTCCACATTCTAACCCAACACAAAGGAGCTCCTTTAGTAAATCACACATAGATTAAATTCAAGCTCCAGTGATCGCTCTAAGTGTCTTTTCAGAAGTTGGCACAGTCAACTTTTAATATCCGTATGGACTCATGAGACTTTATAATACAGTATTTCATTTGAAACAACAAAAAAGAACAACAAAGCTCCTGATGCAGAACTTTTTCCAATTCTGCTCTGAAGAGATGGTGAAGTTTATGACTTCTTACTGAGCTACAATCCTTGCGGGGCATACTTTCAAGTGGATCTGCTTAATGCCCCCGCTTCACTATGAGAAGAAGCCATAAGGGTTTAGAGAGAGGTTGTTTAAATGAGAAGGCATGGCTTGCTGAGTGCTCAATAGTGTTTATTATTTTTCCTTTTTATGATTATTTTTATATCACCTACCGTTTGGCACATAGAGCTGTCGTAATGATTTCTGCTAGAATAGACCTCAGACTGCTCAGAGACATTCATGCTGATAGCCGTGACCAAGAAGACGTAGTGGAACATGGGATTTGCTTTCTATTTGGCAAGGGTCTGCTCCTAAAAGTGGTTGCTTCTCCATTGTAATTTAGACTCTTACCTCTGCGTCTGAGTGAGGACTGTGAGCAGAATACTGAGCTGTTGGCAGACCTTTGCGGTTTTGGTCTGTGACCTTCACCGAGAACAATAAATGCAGAGTGAGAGCTAAAGCCAGTGGTTTGAACAGGCTCTATTGATCACTCTCCACAGATGCAATTTATGTGGGCTAGGTAGTGTGAATAATGCTTTGTTCTCTGATTGCAGGACTGAAAAACTGAGTTAAAAGGCAAGACAACTGAATGAGCAAATGACTGAAAGTTCATTGCATAAGAGCAACAAAGCCCAAAGATTGTATTAGTAGATTATGCTTTAATACCCGCTGATTTAAGCTTACATTTGGTAGTACACCGGTATCACCAAAGGATAGATGTCAGAGCAAAATATGTTCAATGTCTTCCATTTCATTAAATAATCTTTCCACAAAGTAAAGATAGGTTTTATTTTTCTCATCTTTTGATTAGATTGAAGAATATGTTGGCCTTATCTTAAAAGGCTGGAAGTACATTTTTGTTGGTCAATAAACAGGACCAAGCCATGGTCCCAACTCAGACATGAGAAATAAACCCTAACAAACGTTTCATCAACATAGAATTCATTCATTCATTTCAAATTGCTTGGCACTGTCATGTAAGCGGATGCTAATCAAACAGGAGGAGTTAGTGAATTTGTTTGGGGACTATTTTCAGCGGCTAATTCATCCACATTGGGCGCTTTTGAAACATTTGAATTGGCCATTATTCTGTCAAAGATGGTATAATAACTTTGAAAATGTGTATTAGTGTTGACCCCAAAAATACAGTAGTGATCAGGATTATAAAGTTGTTTGTACTTATTTGGTTTCATTACTAGGCCAAATGTTACACTTTCTTTTTAAAACACATGTGGATAGTTGGTCCTGTTTCTGCAAACAACTGTAGCTCTCGCTGCACACGACGTAGCAGCCAACTGGGACGATGCTAAATCAGGTCGCCCCTGTCTGCGAAAAAGAAACGGCTAAAGTGTGCTCATCCTGGAAGGAAAATGCTATTTATATACTGCATATCTCCCAAAGTCACAGAGTTATGGAAAACTAGAATGTGTGGTTGCTTTAGGTTGACTTTGACACAGTTAAATTCTCCTTTCATTTCCTTTAAGAAAACTCAGAAACTCTATCACACAGGCCTTCAAAAGTTGGTATTGGGGTTGGTAAAATATTGCTTTTGCTGTATTTGCTGGCCCCAAAGAAGAGACACTGACTTGACTCCTAATAAATGTGCCCTGAGCGCGAGTCCGGCTCACATAATAGGACTCTCCTGTACCTTGTGTACCGCACTATTGAACATTTAACTCTCTTGTGACTCTGGTTATAATTAAGATTTCCTCTAAGCCTTTCTTCATTCCTCTATGATTCAAATTGGATCCGTAGCTAAATAAATTAGGAAGACCTTTAGGGGAACATGATGAAAAAAGTGTAAGGTAAATGGGAAAGGGAAACATTTCAGTGTTCAAAGATTTTTTTTAATTATAATTAAACATGTTATATTTGTTTGATTGCTTTCCAGAGCCCTGGCAGACATTCTGAGGCAACAAGGACCAGTTCCAATATCTCAGTATGAACACGAGAACATTGCAGCGATGGACGGGTCACCTAAAGACGAGACGCCGGTCAGAACCTCGAAGAATCACTACACACCTGTTCACGCCAAGGCACCGAACCACGGTAGGTGACACTGCTCAGGTCTTATACAGATGTTTTAAAGGCCAAGTGACCCGTCTTGTATGTGGCTTTTACTGTATTCCCATCCAACTTTCTTTTTTACGATAATAAAGCCCCCCTTCGCTTTGATTGACATCCATGGATATAGATGGACGGGCTGTGAATCTTAAGCTTTTCCTCTCAATCTTTTTTTAAAAGGAAACACATAAGGAAGTACTAGGAGAATTAAAGGCAAGGCTATGGCTACATTCTCATCTCCTATAAGCCTACTCAGCACTGGCTCAAAATTGAGATGTAAATGATCATCTTCTGCGAGAGACGCAAGCTTTTGTGCAGTGCTAATTCTGTCGTGCGACGATGTTCCTCTTATTTGATCCGGTCGGGCTCCAGATCCCTGCTCTAGGCATCAACTCGTTTGCTAAGTGCCCTAGTATGGTGTCCCAGATTCAACAGTGTTGTGTTTCACTCTTGTGTCACCCGGCCTGCCTCCACCCTCCTCTCCACCACCACCATGGAGGGAATGTGTCAGTGGAGAGCTACAGACTGTACTGAGCTGCAGGATGTGAGACACTTTCCTCACTTTTCTGCAGCCGTGTGACTTTTAAAACATTTGTAATCAAGCTGCCCAACCAAGTAGATCACCTAATTCTTGGTCAACGATCTGTTTTTTTTTTTAACATTGCCCAGGTTCAAAATGTCAAATGAGAAATGGGAGGAATTATTTTGAGATTTTGGGAAGTTTCTTTAGAAAGGAACAACCTCTTATAACCTCTTAACCTCTTATATACCTCTTGCAACCTCTTATATCCAACCGTTATTGATGGTGAATGTAGGCAATTTAAGCGATGTGTTTTTTAGTGCGCGCTGTATGCTCCGTGAAAGCTGTGCTCCGTTGCTCCTCCTGGTGGTAATGTATTGTTGTTATTGCACATTAGTTTTTGTAAGCCTGGACCATAATGCAAAGGATGAACTAACGTGATGGGGACCTCATAACATGTTGTATGACTTGTTGTTAAAGGCCCGTCTTTGAGACTGGTGGGTCCTCGAGATATAACATCGAAATGACTCTATTTTGAGAGCATATGCTATAATACTAGATCAAGTTACCACAAACTCGGGTTGTGGTGGGAGGCTTTGGGGGTGTCAATGAAGACCCACAGCTCATCGCTCCCCCCAACACATAAAAGAAGGACGATGTCAGCTTACTGCCCAAAGTGATTGGCAGCCAATTTAATGGAAAGACATTTGAAGAAACATATACGTAAATGTTCAGCAACCAAATGTAAATAGCCAATACCAAATAACATGTTACCAGTTTGCAATCACACCCCCTCCAAATCATCCACATATAAGCATGTAGAAAATACATTGTAATGAGCTGTAATGTGTCGCCTAGATTTTTAGTATTACATCTCTGAGAGCATATGGGGTTTCAGGAAAGGAACAGGCTATTTGATTCAAAGTGCATGGCCTTTTAGATTTGTGTAAACAGCGCTTTTGCCTGGTTCTCATTTCTGTGTAGTCATATTTGTAACTTCAGTGTAGAGCATAGTGCCTGGAGAATAAGCAAACATCGTCGCCCTGTGTGATTCACAAAGCCACACATCATTGTTTTGGATATAGCGCCCACAGAAAAGATGTCTTAATTGTCCAATCTTTGTCATGTCAGCCTGCTATTGTTTGCTGCATGCACAGTAGGATGTCACATTGCAGGGGTGAACGCTTTTGAACAGAGAACCCTTCAGAAAGGAAGGGATGGAGGCACTACAGGGAGGACGTGAGTCAGATTTTGTGACCAATTCCTGACTGTGATGTTCATTTAATAATGGAAATGACAGTTTCTTTCAGTGGGGAAATGGTTAAAGCTATTCACATTTAAAAGACAATTTATGGGTATTAAATAACCGTTGTTTTGGCTTCTCTTAGTAGATGTCAGTGTTACTACTAAAATGTTCTTACATTTTGTCAATCTTTCACTTTGAATGCCCATTCAGTTTAAACTCTGTTTTAAAACTACGGTTGGAATCAAGGTAAGGTTAAGGTTAGGGGTGAGCAGTAGTGGAACACGTTCAGAAGGATTCAGATTCTTTACTTGAGTAAAAGTACTAATACCACATTGTAAACATACTCAATTTCCAGCTAATTACTGCATCGAGAATGGTACTTAAGTAAAAGTATTAAGTATGATTAGGATAATGTACTTAGGAGTAAAAGTACTCATTGCAGACAAAACTAAAATAATATTTAAATATTTGAAAACAAAAGCAGCAAATCTTCACATTTAAGAAGCTGGAAACTTGAAATACTTTTCAACCAAAAATTGCTCCAATTCATTTTCTGTTAACCCACTCATGGTGTTAATGTCTTATATATAATGGTGGATGGTTTAATCAAATCATACCAAATAATCATATTTTAAAAGTGTACCCTTAGTATTGTGTGTTAAAATCTGGATTAATAAAGATACTACTAAATAAATATAGTTGTTTTGCATAAAGTATTCTTAAATGAAAATACTTTGGTAAAGTACAAGTACCTTAAATGTGTACTTAAGTACAGTACTTGAGTGAATGTACTTTCTTCAACTGGTGGTAAGTGAAGAATGATGACAACATGTCCTATAGTCAAAGCAGAAGACTAACCCCCAGCCCTTAGCCATTTTCAGAACAGGGAGTTACAATATGCAGATGATGTCACTTTTTTTCAAAGTAAGTACATTTTAAAAGCAGAATAGATGAATAGCACAATTTAGACGTTTTTGTTAAACAGCTTCTACTTTATTATGCAGTACCACTATTTTTGTTTTTTTGTTTTCAGCAACATAAATGATGCACAGCTGGCCACAAAAAAAAAAAGTATGGCATTTTGTAATTGAAGGCTCAAGGTTAATTTACCGTCAGTATTTTCTTTGCCCTCAAGGTTTTCATTAAATAGAAAGGTTTGGTAATAAAGGGATTAAATATATATTTAATAAATGTGTTTCCAATCAATATTTCATGTTTAAATCCTTTTGTGAAAGGTGCAGTTCACCTCGCTGGGTGGCCTTTATGAAGGGAGCCGGCGGCTACATTGATTCCATGGTTTGAAAACATCTCTTGGGTCACACCAACAGATCCGATTTAATAGAAGAAACATGATAGATTTGAATAGATTTTGAAACATAGCAGCATAAAGCAAAATAAAATATATTGGTTCTGTCACAAGCTCACTTAATTGATGGTGTCCTATACAGTTTGTACCCTTTTTATTACTGAAAACTGAAGTGCTCCAGATTTAGCCAAAATGCTATTTTGTATCTGTAGTCCCTGGACAGTTCTCTAGTCACCCTAAAAACAAATTATTTAAAATAACAAGTCAATACATTGATTATAAACCTGCAACATAGAGGTTCACACAACTGTAAAAAAAGAGTCTCACTCTTGAAGGGGAGAGAGAAACTCCCTCTTCAATGGAATGATGGGATGTTAGATTTGGTATCCTATTGACATGCACAGAAACCTATATAACACATAACAGGGAAGGGCAAACCCCCACAAGCTTAAAAGGGCCTCTGTATGTTTAATACACGAACACTTTCACATAAACTCCTTCCCTGCATGACTTTTGAGCAGATTTATCTCTTAACTGTTTACTTTCCCTAATGGCCAATTAGAATATTACTTCATAAATGTAACTTTTATTTAGAGATTTGCGTTTTTATCTCCCTTCGCCCTTCATGTGTGATGAAAAACTTTAATAGCGTGGTTATGCTCTATAAGAAAATGTGGGATATTCTTTCATTTTGAAGTGTGGATAATGCGATTTGGAGGAACATTTGCAGAGATAATAAGGGGGCAATAGGTTTAGGTACGGCGATGTAGGATCCATTTATATCACAATCAGTGTCTGCAGCTTCCTGCTCTCAGCTCCACGCTACTGTCCTTGGAGTATGCAGGGGTTATGTATCATCTGTATTTCACACCGGGAGACATCATACATACTGTATAAGCCCTATACTGCATCATGTACATAGATACTGCCCTGTACCGTTCTTCTCATGTTTCTTTAGTAGGTCCCGCATTAGCCGAGCCGAGTTCATAGTCATCCTTTGGGTTTGATAAAAAGGAACAAATGAGCTGTGGGGCTCAGGCCTGAGTGCCACACTGGGATGTGATGAAGACCATCTCTAATGGTCCCAGGTGTTTCTTCTCATTATGATAATTTGAAATGCAGTTCAATATCGGCTTCCCAAGGCCCACAGGTCTGAGTGATGTTATTGACTTTGAAGTGGTTCCTTTGAGAAAGAGGCATTTAACTGTTCGCTAGTTAATGTAGAGAGGGGAAAACGGAGAGAACGAGAGGAGAGGTTTGAAAGAGCAACTTTTCTTTGTTGCTGTTATCACCGACACTACATTCCTTCATTTCTTCGTAACACTTGTCCGTGATTGACAGGACAATTGAACGTTTTAGGGGTGCTAGCAGGCACCTTGTCTCCCTGCTTTGTGTTCAGACCGCACTCTCAATTACCGCACTGGTTCAGAGTGGAGTTAGCAGTGATGTGGTACAAATTGCATTACGGAGTGGTCTTTTAACACAGGGGAAATCCAAAATGGTGTAGCGGCATCCTGAAAGACTTTGGGTTTAATCCTTTCTAAAACAAAGTGTATCCAACCACAATTATCTTGCCTTTGAGGAGACAAAAGCGCTGCTATTTTATTTTTCAATTATGTTTAATACTTTGCTTTCTGTGAGGAGAAGAGTGTTTGATAAAATGAGTATATGAAAACCCTAAAACCTGCAGATTGCATCTCTTGCATCTCTTGCATCCTTAAGTGATAAATATTGACAAGAAGATCCCACAGGAGAGTCGCTGTGGTGCCATTTCAGCCCTGTTTAGTATTCTCCTCGTCGATGGCTGCTCCTTTACATCATGGCAGATATGACCAGAGAATTGAGTACAGATTCTTGTCAGTGCTGAGGCTCAGTCATTCAAGAATATACATTTGTGACATTTCTTTGTGAATTCCTTGTGACGAAACGATCATGAGGATTTGCTCATGTTGCTGAAGTGAATCCATCTTTACATTGAGTTTAAAGGGCCCATGTCATGGCCATTTCCACTGATCATAATTCCATTGTGGAGGTCTACTAGAATAGATTTATATTGTGCATTTTTCCAAACTCACATTGGTTTCTCATACAGCATCTCTGTAAACTACGTGTATTCACTGAATTTCACTCTCTGCCTTTAACGGCTCGTTGTAGCTCCAATAGCTCCAGCCCCCACCCTCCCTGTGAGCACAGTGTGCTCTGATTGGTCGGGACGTTGTGAATCGCGCTGAGCTCCGTGGAGGTGTTGTTTCCTTGTTAGCGATACACAGCGAAACACAGCCAAACTCATCCTGAGCACACACAAAGTCACAGCCGAAGTAAAAACAATAAGTGTGGCTTGATATTGAGTAAGAAAAAGGTTGATAAACGCTGTGAGAATGGGTCTGCAGAGAGAATTTTGACGCGATCCCAACTGTCTGTTATCAGCCTGCATCCAGGGAGGAGAAATCAGCAGAGCTGCCTGTGTGTGAGGAAGTCCGTGGATTGGTCAATTTGGACCAATCAGCGGGGGCTTAGCGTAACGGCTCCGCGGACGTAGCGTAACGGCTCCACGGATTGGTCCATTTGGTTCCGGGTACCGCATGACCGTATTGCGTCATAGCTCTGGGCGTGGCTACTGGGTATCCAGACGTCACGATGCCCAGGAAGAACATGAGAAATCTCCAACGAGGCGTTTTGGGGAGGTCTTTTCTGTGTTAGAGTTTTACTCCCTACAGGTTGTACTTTGAGGGTTTTTGACTCTGCAGACCGTTTACATGCATAAAAACCTTCATAACACACAAGGGGACGGGTAATAACCGGAAAAGCATGACATGGGACCTTTAACAATGCGTTGCGTGGTGTTTTTTACAAATTCTGTGTGACCACTTCATATTTTCTGTTAGAAAATATCTTTAATGATACAAAGAAACTTGGGGCTCTCCAGGACTTTGTTCAATCAAATAGCCTTTATGTTTTGGCCATCGGTTTTAATGACCTCAGTTTGCCTCTAACAGGGTTAACCCTTACATATGAATGTATTGAAAGAGAACTGGATACAGCGTCGGAGACCGGTCCCCATTCATTCCAAGGAGAGTTAGTCAGTGGTGCGTGAAGCCAAAATGGCCTGACTCTCGAGAACTAAAATACCCGGGTCATCCCTTGATCTTCTGGCAATTGTCTTAAGTGGTTAATTCACCTAAAAACATGTATGCACTGATTTATAAGCATCTGTTCCCCAATGTAAGTCAATGTTAAAAAGTATTTTTCGGCCCAATTGACTGACATGGAAGTTCTTGTACCACTGTTTTAGCTTCAACGCGCAGCACTCTTCATCTTACTGGCTTGAATGTTAGCCATCTGCTTGCCAGATATGGTTCACTAACTATCCGATATTATAAACGTGTCACCAAGTCTCAAACACCAGTCATATCCCAAGGACACGGATGGTTTTCTCTGTCCTCGCCTCTATGAGAAGGGTCTATCAACATACTGTATACCCTCTATGCCATCTTGCTGAAATATTCATTTTCCGCTTTTGCTCTGTCTCACCAGGACACTATGGAAAAGAAAATCTACGCAGCGGAGGCCAAGACATGCACAACTTCATCTCCTCTGGGTTTGTGACACTGGGACGTGGCCACTTGAAAGGTAATAGCTATAAACTCTCTGTGCAGCTCATCAGTTTCATGCTCTGTATTGGAACTATATTACACTGCATGGTCCCTATCGTATAAAGATACATTAAAATTCCAAGCCCATCCTCAACCTCATCCTCCTCACTTCACAGTGTCCTGAAAACCAAGTTCAGAATAACAATCATTTAACTCACAAAGCCACTGTGTCATGCTGTCGTTCTCCCTCTGCCAAATGGATGTAGTAAAAAAAAAAACAATAACGTGACTGTGACTTTTGTTTCAGCTCAGTGGAAGTTGTACATAACAATACATAATGGCTTGAAGTGACATCTTGCAAAGTCCACACGCACACATTTATTATCTGTGATTAAATCCACACTTCCAATGACAAAGTAACACTTCCGCCAGTGTGAACGCAGCATGGCATGGTAGTAGTTCTCTCCGCTCTTGTCTTCCTTTGGACTTTTAATGAATCCGAAGCGGCGTTGGGGTGAGAACGAGCTGTAAACAAGAGGCCTGTTGTTGTGTTTTTACAGCGCAGCACTCCATAGACGAATCGGGGCAGATGTCCTGGCAGGGCGATATGGACATCCCCCTCTCCTACGGTAAGATCCACTTTCTGACCAAGAAAAAGACTCGCAACCTGCTTTCTGCTCGCACCTGATAAGAAAAAGTCACACACACCCACACACACACAGTCGAGTGCCCTTGGCCGGTTATCCCAGCGCAGTCATTGGGTTCAGACTGTAAGAGTTGTAATATTACTTTATTTTCTGTTGGTGGTTTTATGAGCAAAACGTATTTTTACTGGTGGAGTTTGACAGCAGGTTTCAATGAAAACAATGGCCATACAGTCATATAGATAATGTATGGCTTTTATGGACAGGTCATAAACAGTTTTACAGTTCTGACGTGTGCGCAAGGTAAGTGAAAGTTTGATTTAAACGCTCAACTTGAAAGATTCTGCTGTGTTTGAGAGCCACCATCCCAATATGTATTAGTTTATGGTAGTGTATTTAGCAGAAATCGTAAATCACAGTATGAGTTTTAGATATTGAGGTTTTCATTAGGCTGAACAGAATATTTTACATACATTTGAGTTCATGTTTCACAATATTTACACTTATCAGCTTAAATGGTTGACAAAAGAGCAATTCATTTTTTCAAAAACTGAAATTATTAGGACATGTTTTTCTAAAAAATATTAATTAATCCAACTTCCCTCAGGACTATTTATTGTTTTTGAATTGTATTTTTTCCGTCAGGTTTGTGTAGCTTTTCTGAGTTCTATACTGTTATGATAAGTTTGTTGCCCGCATGTTACAGTTGCTGACATACATATCCAGAGAATGCTTCGCCCCAAAAGGGTTGTTGGAAGAAGTGTATTTTATTAAACTGATGACAGCTTTATTTTACAGTATCAGGATCTGTGGCAACACTCATTGTAAGTGGAAGTTTTGCAGGGGAAAAGGGGTTTGCCATAAAATACTTGATGTCGTAAAGAAAAAGGCGTACACACATTTTATCCATTTTGCTTTAACTATAAACAATCTCTTCCAGCACATATAACTTGTAGTTAACATACGTGACTTTAACTGACCAAACAGTTCCCACACGGCTACGTTACATTTCGTATTTGTCAACTTTGTTGCAATGCTTTAACCTCCTAAAGCATAAATGCAGCATATATTTTCACCTCACAACAGCAAAGAGGTGTTGTCTCCATTGAGTTGAAAACACTTCTTGGTTAAAACCTTGGTTATATTTAGGTGAAATTACAATATATAAGATACATACATCCAACAGCATGCTTGCTAGTATTTCCAAATGTTTTGGAAAGTCTATTACCAGTTAAATAATGTGTGCTGCAGCACTTCTTCTCACCCTCTGATTGGTTAACTGACCGGCTCTGTTGTGATTGGTCAACCGCTTAGAGATGTCCCGCCCCTTAGCCTATCACGTACAATGTGTTGTAGCGCTAGCCAATATAAGCGTGATTGTCTATGTTACGGAAGTAAACAAAGGAGTCAAATGGAAGTGTTTCAGGCAGGGGGGGAGTGTGTTGGAGAGAAACTCACTCTGGATGGAACTTTGGGATTTTAGCCTTTGCAAGACAAGGCTAGTTTATTTATATAGCACCTTTCAACAAAAGGCAATTCAACGTGCTTTACAAAAATACATTAAGAGCATTAAGAAATAGTGCAGCAGAAACGTATCATAAAATGGCATTTTGAAACACTCATTTAAAAGCAAAGATAATAAAACATGAATAACACAGGTACATGAATACAAGTTACAGTGCCGTTTAAGATATGAATAGTTATTTGATTAAATCAAATGCAGTGGCAAAAAGGAAAGTCTTTAGCCTGGATTTAAAAGTAGTAAGAGTTGCAGGTTTCTGGGAGTTTGTTCCAGATATTTGGAGCATAATAACTGAATGCTGCTTCTCCATGTTTAGTTCTGACTCTGGGGACAGAAAGCAGACCAGTCCCTGAAGACCTGAGAGTTATGGATGGTTAATAATTTAGCAGTAGGTCAGAAATGTATGTTGCTTTATAAACCGGCAGCAGTATTTTGAAATCAACTCTTTGACAGACAGGAAGCCAGTGTAAAGACTGTGAACTGGAGTGACTGCAGATCATTTACATGCACCAAAACCTGTATAACACATAACAGGAAAGGAAACCCCCCCCCAAATCCTAATAAGGCCTCTTTAAATGGCTCTGATGAGGCATATCTGAAAACACCTATCTTTACTAAAAATACCCGCTTTCCGTCTGGTGATGAATCGACTGACGTTCACTGATGGTGACATGTTAAAATGACTCAACCCGGAAGCATAATTACTGCACACTTAAAAGGCATGACTGAAACATCTGTGTTTTTTGTATTCCTCTTAAAACTGGAAAAGCTCCATTTGGAAGGAAACGAGTAAAAAGATAAAATGACCAACAAGTTTGAAAAGGTACATCCTCTTTCATCAATACATATATTTTCACTTGGCAATCGATACAATTAGATTTTCTCTTTTCATTTTGTACGGACTACATGGGTGTTTAAACAGCGTTTAACTAATATTAAAATAGGGCGCTTGAGGCAGCGACCCTCCCCCGACTGAACCCCGCCCCCGACCCTCTCCCTGCACCTATAGGTGACCCACTTTAACGGCCTGAAGGTGGTAGCTGTCACCTCGAAACGGAGGTGCTGTCAGCCTCTGCCATACGTGTCTAAGTTAAACAGCTGGCTGTTGGCGGGCCGTCTCTGCCCCCCCCCCGCCGCACACGCCTCCTGTTAAGGTGACACAGACTGACAGATGTTCACCATGTCGGCTCCAGAGCTCCGTATAGACGCCTCATATCTCATTCCTGGATGAGATTACAGCTACAGCTCACATATCTGGGGGCATCCCCTGCCCCCTCCCCCCCCAGAGGTGGGCAATGGTTAACTGCAAGGCAATATTTGAGAAAATGTGTTCAACCTGTTTTCCCATTGACCATGCAACTGTTGACCTCCCGAGTCAAAACTGAAGAGGACAGACAGAAGGTTAAGTACTATTTTTCGGACTCTGCTTTTTTATTTGAATGAAATATTGAAACCTTCATTTCATTTGGACTTTTCTTAATTGTGTTTCCTCCTTTACTCCCTCGTACTTGTTAACTTATTTATTTATTTATGTTCTTATACATCTTCTATCGTATGCCTTTTTTTCTTGCTTGTCTTAGTTTTTTCTTTGCTTCATTCCTTTCTTTGCTGTCTCGTATCCGTTCCTTTAGTTCATCTTTCTTCTTTGCTTTGTTTCTTGCCTTTATTATGTCCATTATTTATTTCCTTTATTCCCTCTCTTCACCTCCTCCTCTCCTTTGTTTCTTTCCTTTGTATCATCCCTTTGCTTCTTCCTCTCCTTTCTGTCTTTCCTATGTTTCCTTTCTGTGCTTCATCCTTTCCTTCCTTTGTTTCGTCCCTTTGCTTCTTCCTCTTATTCACATGTGCTTCCTACTCTTCCTCTTTCCTCCCTCCCCCCTTGATCCTCTTTATTTCCTTTTTCCAATTGCTTTGTAGCCTCTTCCTCTTTATTGTTTGCTTGTCCCCCCCCCCTCACAGCCTTGCATTATTTCTTTCCTTCCCTCTTTTTACCCTCCCTTCTTTTTTGCTTCTTACATACTTTCCTGATTGTGTCTATTCACTCGTCCTCTTTTCTTCCTCTCTTCTACCTCTTATTCATCCTTTATCCCTACCGTCCCTCATGCCCCCTTCTTCCTTCTTTCCTCATAGTCTTTGCTTTCTTTTCTTCTTTGTCTGCCCGGAAACAAAGAGCAAAACCAGACAACACTCTTGATAATCAGCCCTTTCATTCGGTTCAGGAACCCCTTTTACTGCTATTTGTCTATTTCATATTTGAATTCATGACTTGATTTAGTAAAAAGGGTATTTTCATATTGCAGTCCATGTACTTACATTAAAAGCTTTGTGTAGCACCCTGCTCTGGCGGCTCTTATTTGCATTTCAAAGGTTGGACGCTTTACATAAACAAAACATTTGCAATAATTCCTTGAAAATCCACTGTTTCCTTAGACAAAGCACGTCTGAGCGTGAACCCCAAACCCAACTGTGCGTGTTACATTTAATTGTTTGCGTGGGAGCGTCGTAGTGAAATGAACAGTACAAACAGTGCACATTTGAATGTACGTCAGAGCTAACAAGCTGCTTAAGAAAGCTCCAAGTAATGTCATTAATATTCATGCATCCCTGATATAACATGGCACTCGGAGCCTTTTGTGGAGCCACACACACAAGTCTACCTGCTGGGGTGTGTGTGAGGCCACTGGCAAGGATTTATGTCTGATATCAGTGAGTGTGGGGGGAGAATGGGGTGTTCACTGCCTGTCCGTGTCTATTCCCAGTGATGGATTGTCTGTAGTGATGCAGCCATTTAACTGCTGCGGACCTTGGTGGGTGTGTTCTGATGGAAGTGGCTGTCTCACAGGGGATGTTCAAACAAAATGAGATTCCTAAACCTGGATGAGAAACTGTACATCGATCAAAAGTGGTTGAGATACTTTATGTTCAGGGTTGCCCGGTGGGAAAGTGCCAGAGGTGTCAAATGTTTTTCCTTTTTGGCTTGTTTACCTTTATTGGATAGACTGGAATGGGGACGAAAGACGGGGGTGACAAGTGGCAAGGGCCAAGAGTTCATGAAGGAACATATTCCTCAGATTATGATTATTTCGGGGCCATTTTTGTACCATTTGAACAGCCTGTCCTCCTCCAAAAAACGACCAAATAGGTAGATTGTTCAGCAGCGTATTACCACCTATAGTCACGTTTTAAAGTTTAGCACCTCTAGTGGTCGTGTAAGAAACAACAATTTGCGGCATTTCTTCCAGTTTGACCAAAGGTCTTCTAATCAGGGCTCTATAAATAGAGAACTACGGCAGATGTGTAATATTTAATGCAGCCGAACCGTGTATTACAATGCCGTTATGTGATGACTTTCAAAGAGAAAAGCAAGCACACTCGGAATAAAGTATTATTTTCTTTTTTTTTTAAATGTTTTCGGATTTCACATCGCATAAACACCATATCCCAACGTGCATTGCGGCTAAAA